TTGTATAAATTTTAAATAATTCTAAATTTTATATAAAAATATTACATATAAAAATTATATAATTATTATGATTTATAAATATATATACAAATTATTTATCTTTATATAAGGTTTATAAAATAATTATTTATATAAAATTAATTATTAATACTTATTTAAGTTTATTAGATTCTCAGAATAAATATTATCAATATTTGACAGTTATATTGAATTCTTGTTTGTATTTAAAAGATTTAAAAATATGTAATTATAAGAATCATATTCTGCTTTTGATATTTAAGTGTTATGTTTAAAATTAGAAGCGCTTACACTATTATCAATTAATATTTTCGATTAGAGAAGATAATAACTAATAGTTGGCTTTTCAAATAAGAAATGTTGTCATGCATAAACAGAATGTGTAAGTATGCAAGAGTAAATTTTGCTCTTTTCATTTTAATTGGATCAATGAATTTGTAACTTCTTTGAATTCCGTGAGTCTCATAATAACAATATAGGTAATTGCCAAAGTTCGTTATATTTTGTGGAACTCATTTCATAAGTACTTTTATTATTTTTGTTATTCGCATGTGAGTTATAAAGTGGAGATGAATAATTATTTGGTATTACGAAAACCAGACTATAAAATATAATGAACTTAGGTGACTGCATATATTGTAATCATGGGACTCCTGGATCCACAAAAAATCACAAATTGACCAAATCCATCAAAATTGAAAAGAATGATAAATATAAACTAAAATTTAAAAAAAAGAAAAAAATCAATATAACTATAAATAGTTGTATGACGCAGTCGTAACAAACCAGGAATGGATATGCATAATTAAAAATAGTGATAGTGTATAAATTACTTAGTAAACAGTATCAACTCCAATTTTCTATATAATGATAGTGTATAAGCCAATAGTGCATTAAAAAATAAAGATCTAGAATTCATAATAATGATATTGGTTGTATTTATATAAATTACTTGGGTGAACAGTATAAATTATGTCACATAAAACTTAACCTTAATTTCTCTATATAATAGTATTGCATAAACCAATAGCTTATTAAAAATAAATTTCTTAAATTATAAATTATGCTATATATATAAAACTTCAACCCTTAATTTCTTTATATAATGATATTGCATAAGTCTAGCATATTGAAAATTAATTTTTTAAATTACCAATCTCAATAAAATGAAAGATCTAGAATTCTCAATTTTTAATCACTTTAAGAAAAATAATATGCTAAGAATAATATATCCTTAATAGCGACTATTCTATACAACTGCTAAAACTTAAAATAAGCCATTACTGAATTTAGTTTATCTTCAGTATATGAGTTGAACTTTATTCCTTATCAAGCAATCGATGTTTTTGATTTTCCACACTGCACTATTTAGATGAGCCAGATTAATTATCTATCAGAACATATACATACATTAATAATTTGAACAATAAAAAATTAGTCAAATGGATCACTTTTAGTATAGGTGAAACTATCAATAAAATATATTGTTAATAAATTGATTTAGAGAGGGTCATATAGGATCAACTATAATAAAAGAGATCCAGCCAGACAGATGAAAGTTACCTAATTTTGTAATGAGAAGAGATTGAGATACTTCAATAGATAAAAGACTCATACTAAATCAATGCGAATGTAAAATTAAATGAGATAAATATAGAAAAATAGTCATTTACTTATGACTAATTAATGCAAATAAAATCTTTACAGAAACTTAATTATCTTAATGCACAGTAACTATGTAGTTACTGCACATTAAGATATTCAGATTTTTGTATAGATATTAAATAAGAGTTGAATAGATTAAATGCTTCGATTGATAAATGTACTTTTGATACGAATGAAAATAAATTAAATTAAGAACTGAATAAATCCAAATTTAAACAATTGTTATCCAATAATAAGAAATCTTATTTTAAATACTCAATTCATCAATAATATTGTGTTGTCTATTAAATAATATAAATAAGAAAAGTTAGTATTAAAGAAAGTAGATTGCTAAGCTTTTATTATAATTTTTCATAGCAAAATAAAAAAATAATAGGTGTGTAAGGTATAAAATATAAAAATAATCATATAAAATAAATTCATCCTACTAATAGTATTTACAATATTTTTTTGTATAAACAGATATAAATGCCAATGTGATTTAAGATTTTAAACTAAATGCTATTGTATAATTCTTAATTCAAATAAATTGCCTTATATTTAATTTTCTATTTAATTAGAAATAAAAATATTAATATAATATGAATTTATTATATTAAATTGTGGCACAATATGAACAACATTACTAATTGATTCTACCAGAATCATGTTGTAGATATCAGTTAATTGCAAATAAGGACATTCATACTTATAAAATTTTGAAGGGGTGTTTGGGAATTTAAAATTGTATCAATGAACAAGTGCAAGATCAAATGTCATAGTGTCTTTTAATGCTATATGAACTAATAATAATACCTAAAAATTAAAAAATAAATTTTAACATTTTGAATATATAAAATTAGTTTATTTTAATATATACTTTTGCAAAGCAAAATCCATCAAATGTTTCAAATTCATCCTCTTCAGGGTTCATATGAATAGAAACATTACTGAATATTGGTTCATTGTGAAAATTTTTTGTAAACCTTACTCGTTCTTTATTAGGCAAAACAAAAGACTCATATAAAATAAAAGTTAATTCAGATTCTTCAATTTGTCTTTCAACTATTGGTACAAGATTAAAATAATCATTCATAGCAAAAACAAGATTATGTAACCCTTTAAGAATTTCAGGAACATATACTTGTTCATATTCATATGATTCAATGAGTGACTTTAAAAGGTATAGTGATATAGTACAATATTTTTTACAAAATTTGGTTAAACCTTTTTTAGCATTAGGTCTTCCATTATCGTTATGCATTATTATTTGTTCATGAATGTTTTTAAGTATAAGAGTTCATGTTATCTAATGATATTAGTTATATATTAATATAAAATTATATAATAGAAATACTATATTATCAGGATTAAAATTTTAAAAAGAACCTTCTGTAAAATTTGTGTGTTAATATTGCATTTGTTGGACATTCGATAAGGTGTTTTTATATACCATTTGTGAAGTGCTTCATATGTCTTAGCACTCAATCCATTTAAATTTCCATACTCTTTAATAGTATTAATCATATGATATATCCAATAATGGAATTTGGAAATCATCAATTATTTTTCGTAAATGAACCAAGAATATCGACAAAATTTTTGCCCATTTTTGAATTAATATCTATAAAAGTATTTATTAGGGCTAGTGATATTATTCAAACTATTTAAGATAATTAAAACTATATGATAATTAGTTTTTATAATTTTTTAATAAAGTAAATTAATATTTGACAAAACTAACTAACATATATTGAATTATCTTAAATAGTTTGAATGATATCACTAGCAATAATCTGATAAGTTAATTTAATAAATTGTATTTATTTTATACTAATAAAAATATAATTACTAACCTCAAATTGGTAAAGGTCACTTGGTGTAAATTTATATTGTCTTGATTGATTATACATTTTATTCCAATTAACAAACATTTGAATGAGTAGTTTATTTTGATTTTTTTCAAGAAGACCTTCAAGAACAAATGGCATAATTTTCATCATATGCTTATACTCAGATGCTGTAAACAAAGTGAGATCTGCAAGTTCATTATTGAATACTTTTAATCCTGGATGATGTGGTATTAATCTAAGTCTCAAATCTATTTTATTAACAAGAGCATTATCTTCATAGGCTTTCAAGAGATCTTGTGTACATTTAATCATATGTTCAAAGAGTCTAAGGTCTAAGTAGTACATTTGTTCAGAAATAGTTGCTATATAAATATTAAAATTTCTATAGCAAAAATAAATAAATAAATAAGTATATATATAATTCATAAAGTATATACTGAAAACTTAAACCTTATTATTAATAATATATACAAAAAGCTTAAACCTTATTATTAATGCACATTAAAAGCTTAAACCTTATTATTAATATATACTAAAATAAATTTTAAACTTACAAATGATTTTAAAAACTATTAGTTTCTTCATGCAATGAATAATCTTTGCCTTGTTTTAATGCAATGACTTGTTGCATTTGATCCTTTGTTCGAATAATTTTTTGACTTACTGGTAAATTAATAACATTTAATTTATCTTTTTCTACAAGGCAAATATAACAAGGACATGCACATTTTGTTCCACTATAAGTTAAGCATGATTTGTAATTTTCAGGCCAGTCTCCAATAATACTAGCTAGCATCATATTACATCTTAAATTACAATCATTAACATTTAATAATGCTCCAGAATTATACTGTAAACATAATGGTTCAATTAATATATTAATACATTTGTGAAAGGTTGTTCGAATCTTTTGTCTAAATTCTGATGTATTTCACTCTTCCTTAGTTTCTTGTAATGTTAGTATTATACCAACAAGTACCTTAGCTTTAGGTTTATTACGAAATTTTGTTGAAATATTACCTAAGCTAATATATATTGGATGTTTGGAGCTTTTTCCTAAATGGTCTAGTGCAGTTGTGTCAGAGTATAATATTATTGCTAAAACCTTATTGTCAGATAGAATTTGTTGTTGTGCATAGTGTCACTACTCACAATTATAAAATTCAGAATATACTCTTTCTTGGTGACTCTAAAAATGGAACAAGTAATATTTAATATTTATTTGATTAACATAATTTTCTTTAATTTTAATCATACTTATAGGAAAATCCTATTCAATAATTTTTATATTCAAAAATTAATTGACAAAGCTTTTTTTTAAATATATAAATATAACTCGATTTTTGCTAATATATATATAGAATTATTGGCTAAACTTGTATGTAAGTTATATAAATTTAAAACTTGCATAATCACAATTAAAATCAGGTAAGATGCATATAATAATTACATTTTAAATAATAATGCATATTATTTGCAGCAATTATATCTATATATAAATTTTTTTGACAAATTTACTTATCTCAATCAATATATAAATCTCTTGGTAATCAAAAACACAGTTTGTTGTGATCTCTTTATTTTTGAGAATTTCTTTAACTGCTGAAATTATTGGCTAGTATTCAAATGAATATGTTTGATTATTTATTTTTATAACAAAAGTTAAAAAAACTCAGTGTAGTTTTTTTTTAATGTATCCAAGAAATAAAGTCTGTCTTTTGTTGATTGAGGTAACATTTCCTTTGAAATCTGACCATGTTTTTTTATAAATTTTAATATAGCATCACCAGCCTTATAAGAAAGCTGATATCTGATTATCTAATATTAAAAAGAAATACTATTTAAATATTTTAAATAAATAAATAAAATTCTTCGGGTTAAAAAAAAAGGCTAATTAAAAATTATATCTTTCATGAGGCTTAGATTATTATATTTAGAATTTAAAGAGATACATTATTAAAAGTAATTGTAATACTTATTATATCTATAAAATCTCTATACGCTATATTTGGAAATCCTGCATTATCAATATCACTAAGTTCACTGTCATTACTACAAATTTTGTTACTAATCTTATTATTTTCTAATATGTTATTCTCAAACATTTGATTAGACTTGCTATTTCCTTCAATAATATGACCAAACTTACTATTTTCTCAAATATCTGATCATAATTGTGAGCTATTTGCTGGTTATTGATTACTATTGACTCAAATTCAGGAGCTGCTAGTAATATCTTGGATATCAAATATTTTACAAGCTTCATCTTCAATATTTTGAATATTGAATATCAGGTTCAGGTTGTTATTTTGCTCATATGTAATCTCTGATTCATTAGAACTACAATTATCCATGCTCTCATTTGAACTAGTGGCAGTATTATATTCAACATGATAATAGGTTTTGTGAACTTTTCTGTGATTTTTGAGTCTTGTAAAGCATCTGAAATTTCTTTTACATACACTACAGACAAACATGAAAAAAAATCTATAAAAAGAAAATTAAAAAATTAAAAAAAAAATACATAAATAAATAAAAAAATTAAAATTAAAAGAACGATTAGTAACCTTCTTTTTTACTTTTTTTTCGATTTTTGGTTTTATTACAAGCATCTGCTAAAATTTGTTAATCAAAATTTTTTTTCGCTTTTATAGTAAATTTTAACTTTTCAATCACATTATCGATCATATGCATCTGTTATTTAATTAAACATCTAATACAGTAGTACAATTATAATTTCCTTTTTTGAAACAACAATTGTAATAGAAAATTCTAGGTTAGTATATAATAAGGAATAGATTATATAATTCGAGATAATAATTGGTTAAAAATGTTCTAACAATTGATTAATTGAATTAGAGTTAATAATTTAGGTTACACAAACTTAATTTTATATATATATTTTTTTTCAAAAAACAAAAAATTATTAACCTTTTTTTATTATTTACCTTTTTATGATCGATACTAAAAGTTCGATCCCCAAAATTTATGAAATTTATGTTCTTCCAACTTTATGCCTATTTCTTTTATATATTTGGAGAATAAAGGTATTTTAAATATACGTATTTATTCTAACATATACAATCGCACTCCTATATAACCACCTCATATATATAAGAACATTATGCTTATAAGCATATTTATTTTTTGAAACAATTACTATTAAATATATAAAACTAATTTTCTATATTCTCTATATAAGCTCATTTAAAGTATAAGAATGCATTTTATAGATCCTGATAATGTGATTGTACAGGAGTGCGATTGTATACAACATAAGAAAACAAATTTTACGGGCATCAATTCTTTAAAGTGATACATTTCAGCTTTAGTCATCTCTAACACTATTATAATTAATATGTACCAATCCAATCGGCCAACAAAAGTTGTCGCCATATAAGTTCACTAAAATAATAATAATTATTAAAAGCAATCTTTAATAGTAACACAATTAAAAAAAATATATCTTTCATTTTTAATTTAATTCCAAATACGTTACTAATTCATGCTTGTTGCATTATCTTTATGCATTGCGTAATCTGTATTTTACACCTATTATTATTGGACCTTTTATAAAATTTTTAAAATTCATGCTGGCAAGAATCAATAATTTTTATACCTTAAAATCCTTTTTTTTTTTTATTAATCCAATGCCTCCTAAAACCCGAAAACGTAGATCTGGCCTAAGACAAGATGAAGTCACTTCAGTAATTATTTAGATTGACTTTATTAAATATATTTAGATGCTGACTTTTTATTGTTTTTGTTAGGCATTGAATGTTTTGAGATCTAGTCCTTCTATCGCAAAAAAACAAAAAACTACAAATGAACCTATTACCCAACCTTTGAAGTGTATGAACAATAATGTTAAAAATGCTGATGTTGATATCATTGATAATGATATTCAAAATTCTCTTCATGTAATCACTAAAAGCCCACTTTGCTCTCGATTTAGTGAAATGTCAACAAATATTTTAGGAAATTTACATACCAATATAGAACACGATTAGTTTTAAAAATACAAATAAATTCATTATATTTTAAATTAAAATATTAACTATTAAATCAAATTAGTACAAAGTGAAAAAAGCGAAACAATAAATTTAATATTGAAAATATCCAAATGATTATTAACTCAAAACACATTAATCATGGAAAGACAAGAAGCCTTAGAGGTCATGGTTACTCAACTAATTAATGATATTAAGACATTACAATCTTCATATCAAAAGTTAAAAATTAAGGAAAATGATTGTGAATGGTGGCAGATATATTATTGTGTTTTTATTATAATACTATGTATAAGATCGATTTTCCATTCTTGCTATCTATTAGCAAATAAAAAATTAAGGTCAGTATGAAATTTGAGGTACTTTGATTTAATAGTTGTTTTAAAATATCAGTAAACTAATCTAAGCCTGAACTCTTTTATTATTATTATTATTATCATTATATAAGTGAAAAATCTATCCTATACTATCAGTTTTATTATATTATCAAACAATTATACTATTTTACTTAAAATTTAGAAAGAAGTAATGCAGAGTATTAAGGCAGCTGTAGACAATTAGCTTTATCCTAATGATAAGGTTTATAAAGAAGCCATTCGAAAGGAACTTGAAATCCTCTGCCTAGACAAAATGGAACGATACAAAAAAGGCACTAAATGGGAGGCTCTGTTTAATAAAATTGAAAATGTAGTAATTATAATTGCAACAAGCTATTTAGAACTAATATTACTCAACTTCCTGATGGTCATTTTCCTGACAGGCCATCTAACCTACATCATACAGCATAATAATTTAATGTTTTATTAGTTGCAGTTATATTTTATCAGTAAGTTTTTACACTTTATGATGTTGGTTAGATGTCCTGTCAGAGAAATGACTACCAGAAAATTTATATATAACTATTTAGAACAACTCAAACTATGTGATAATTAGCTTATTGTTTTAGCAGTATTAAAACCAATATGATATTAGCTTGAACTGTTATTATTTTATAATCTAAAACTTTAAATATATGTAGATTAGTACCGAATCTTGCAAATATCATGGGGCCTTATTTGGATCTTTCTGACGTGCCATGTTTGAACATGTTTTTAAGAACAAGGTTTTACCAACTGTCAATTCTGAGAGCTCTAAAGCTAATATATTGTCTTAAAAATCAAGTGATAATGTATGTTGGTGCTTGGAAAACTTGGATACAATGATGGAAAAGGAAGAAAAAACCTACCTTCAAATGGTTGCTAAAAAGGTGTTTGGTAGACAAATTACCAATAACCAATATGCTGTTACATGGGCTGTCTTGCATAACCTTTTTAATTCTGAAATCATTAAAATCAAGTTTGATGAGAAATACTTAACATGAAAGTTACAATGTTTTCTGGTAATTTTTTTTTTTTTTTGTTTTGCTTTTATAGATATTTATTTATTAATTGCTTTATAATTTATAATGAAGTATGACAATACTGAAAGAAATCAAGATGATAACTCAAACGTGTCTGATAGTGAATAATGCTAAAGCATACCTATTACTACCTACCACTGCTGCCATAATGAGCTGTATGAACAGTGCACAAAATAGGATATTGATATTATTAAAATGATATCCTAAGATATATATATATTAGATATTTGAAGTTTATGCAAAAAATTTATATAAATTATAAGGTTATATAAAATTTATTTAAAATTTTATTTAATCGAATGTATAAATTTGATTTAAATTTGATTTTATTAAATTTTTTTTTTTTTTTAAATATTAACAGTAAGGCCATGCCTTTAACTTTATTGAAATTCAATTGAAGTTTTTACAAAG